CTCTCTGACTATCAGAAATGTAGAGCGGAGTACTGGGTGGTTCTGGAAACAAAGCTCTCTTCCCTGAGGTCTTGGAGCAGAGCCTGGAAGGCCTATAAGCTCCAGTCTGACCCTAAGAATCTGTGCTTCTGAATTGTGAATAATCCCACTTCAGTGAAACTTTCACATGCTGAATTTTCTTGAGCTGGGTGCTGACAAACCTGTAGGTTTTACTTCAGGACAAGCCCAAGCAGGCAATAAATTGTGTGTTCAGTTATATGATTTATGGTGGACTGAGGTCATCAAGTAGAAGCAGTGTGACCACTTGCTAGGGATGCTATAGAGGGAATTCCTGCACTCACTGGGGAGAGGACTGAACTAAATTGATCTTGAAGACCTTTTCAACTCTATGATTCTCTGGTACATGCATGTTTGCAATACTTACAGTGATAACAAGATGAGTATATAAAACAATATTCACAGACTCCAACTATGTAAATAAAGACAACATTAAATAACAATAGACCTCAGGTTAAATACAATCTGGCTTTATATCCTCAAGGCCTAGCACACAGTAGGTCTTTAATAAATGCTTGTCAAATAGGAAAAGTTTGTACTTCCTACTTAGAGTTAAGGCACACAATTTTAAACAAAAGCATCCTTCTGTCCAAGTTGTTTTTTTTTTGTGGGGGGGAGGTGTATCCTTTTTTTTGTTTGTGTGTTTATGTTCATCTTTTCTTGTGAAAACAAAATTTGGTAAAGCAAAAAAATTACTAATTGACTGGAGATTCTTATAGGGAACTGGTGCACCGACCATCATTAATGACTCGCTGGTACTTTGGGACTCAGTCCTCTGATAGTAAAGGCCTGCTCTATCGATCGGTGTCTGTGACACATCAAGATTCACTTTTAGAAATGGACTCAGGGCCAGTCTAGCTCATCTTCCCAATATGGATCTAGGTTCATCCCCCTCCTATGTTTTTCTACCCTGAAGGGGAGATTTAAAATTTGATGCATTGCTGGACTGTCCTATAAATAGAATCTGAATGTTGGAAAAGAAGTTGATGTAGCCAGAAAACCAGAGGTAGCTTTGGGGAATTCTCTCCATCCTTCTCAGATAGTAGAGAAAGATTATACTTGGAGTTAAACCAAACTTAACTAAATCCCCAGACTCAGCTCTGCTTCTAACCTGCCGTGTGACCTTGGGCGAAACAGCTACCCTGTCTGCAGAATAAGGGAGCTGGACTAACGTATTCTAAGATCGTTGTTTTAGCTCTAACATCTTACGATTTTAAAATTCCACTTTAAAAACCCCTGACTAGGCAGCAATGCCCCTCGCCTTTATACTTCTGCTGAGATCTAATTAAGAACAAATCTTGTCATTCTCTCAGTGTATTCTATAAAGCGCAATTTTGCTAATTCAAAATCAAAATAACATTTTACCAAACAGTGTGCACACGCACTGCTATTCAGAAGTGAAAAGGAGTCCTCTGGCCCCCAGACAACTTATTGTCTACTGCCTTGTATACCTGACAAATATAGAAAAACGAACATGTTTGACCGATTCCCTGACCCCTCGACAATGGGCCTCTTTGTTAGCCTTTAATATCCTTATCAGGTCTGTCTAGACACCCTGACAGCAATTGTCCCTGGTAATGTCAAAATGCCCTCTGACCCATCTACTCATCATCCGGCTCAAGCAGAAACACATCGAGAGGCTGGCCACATGATACAATTAGCTTCACAGTTCACAGGACACACCTGAGTCTATGATGAATTATACATCTTAAGGCAGCATATACATACCCACCCACCACACTGGAGAACTATCAGACCTGGTGTAAACAGGAAATTGTCTGCATGAATAATGCAGCAGCTTGGAGAGCCAAACAGAAAAGAGAGGGCCATCACCCTGAAAACAAGAGGGTCACCCCTCAGTGCCCCAAACATCCAACAGCCAAATGTGGCCCGTGGGAAAGAGTTCATTTTTGTGCCACGGCACAAGCTCACTCCACACATTGAGACGGAGCATAAGTTGAGCGCTCAGAAAAAAACAAACACACGTTTGTGACCAGAAGGGATTTCTTCACCACAGAACAGCCTGTGCCTCAGAAGAGCGGTTTGAAGCAGACAAGTAGAAATCTTAACGTTCAAGGTTAAACTTGGAATCAGATCACAGCACCTGCTCTGTTATTAACTGGCCATGCTAATGTGGGCAAGTTACTTATTTTCGGAGACTTTTGTCATCTACTAAATGGGGATTTTATTTACAACATTGATCTCATAAGAGCTGTGGTGATTAATAGGTGGTAAAGTGCCTTACAAATGGTAAAATGGTGTGCGACTGGTACAGAATGGGCAAAAGACTGGAAGTTAGCGGTGCTGGGTTTCAGCTCTGCTGAAATCTACCAGCTGTGTGACCTTGGCCATGTCACTTTATATCTGTGGACCTCAGTCCCCTCCTCTGTAGAATGGGGATGATACAACCATGGCCTGCTTTACAGGGATCTCATAGAGAAAGCACTTTGTAAACGTTTAACCCCACTTTAAACAAGGGCTATTGTCACATAAACATTTATCACTGCCATCACAGTCGACAACATGAACCGTATTCCTCAAAGCAGGTGTAGAAGATGTCTACGGATGCTTATCAGAGTAACTTTGTGTCGACAGAAAGAAAACATGAACTCCCAGGCATGGAATGTTTTCTTGGGGAACGTATTTGATTCGAAATAAACCATTTGGCTAATGTGTAGACAGTTTGTATTTTGTAAATTCAAACACTGAGAGGAAAACTTAGAAAGGGGAGGGCTAGAGAGATGGGGGTAGGAAAAAGAATTTTATCCTCTGGTTGCAGGATAATAAAAGATGCAATAAACCAGAACTAGCTTAGCCCCAAAGCTAGCAAGGGTTTACAAAGATTGTTTAATTGATTTTTCTTCTATTAAGATGCAGATCACACCGTCTGGGATTCAGAAACTCAGACACACGTCTTTGTGTCCGCACAGCTCCGCAAGTCCCCTGTCTGAAGCTCGCACAATGCCGGGAGTGCACGTGCTCAGAGACATGCTGTTCCTTTTTGTCTAGGACTCTTGGGACGGGAACCTAGCTAGGAAAGGCAAATCTCTTCCCCACTGTTTGAACATTTTAGATTTCAGAGTTTGAGACGCTCCTTACCTGAGCGCCAAGCTAACCTTGGAGGAAAGAGGGCCACTGAAAGGCCCTCTTGAGAGAGGGTTACAAAAGCCAGTGTTTAGGTTGGAAATGGGATGTGCAACTTTGATTTTTTAATGAATTACAAACTCTGAGATCTCTCCATAGTCAAGGCCTTTACATGGAAAGTGGAAGAATGGGCCTAACGAGGTGAGGAAGAGTAGGTTTTTTTTCTTTTCCAGCAAACTTCATGGATATAATTTAAACAACAAGCAGAAAAACATTTGCTCTCTCTCTCTTCTCTCTCACCCCAAGCTCAGTATTGTCTTCTCTCATGCCATCCCACTTAACACCTCTTCTTACCCTGAAATGGAAGTTGGCTGCCCAGGCTGACCTTGGGCTAAGGACAGCTGGACTAAACCCCAGCCGGGCAGGAGCCAGTCTGCAGTTGTTCTGAGCCAACTAAGCTGGGGTGTGCCCTTCCATATTTCAATGATTCCTCCTTCCCCCAAGTTGGGCTAAGCTTGGAACCTTAGAAGGGTGCCTAGGCCCCCCAAAGCTGCAGGATCAGAGGTGCAAAGGGTCACAGAGGTTAGACAGGGCAAGACGGTGAAACGGCTGGGTCGGTCATCGTGGGGCCAGCTTTCACCATATTTCATCTGAACCTAAACTGAACAAAGTTAGGGTACATTTGCATGAAAAACTTCAGTCTGACAAAGGAGAGATAGGCCCAAATTCCATTGTAAAGAACAGAAAGTCCTTCCTTAAGATTCTATTTGTGAAGATAAAGATGGAACTTTGTATTTATCCAAGATAGCATGGGCTAATAGTGGAAGGGAGGATGAGGGGTAGATAAACTTTCTTAATTAGATCCCCATGTTCTAGAGATAATGGCTATGAAGGAGCTTCATTCAAGGTCAAGTCTTATACAAAGGCATTATTAATAGGGGGCTAGTGTTATGCTAGACCTGTGCTTTCACTGCAACAGGGAACTCCCTGATGAGGAAATTCCTCTCCCAATGCAGGTCAACATCTCTGTAACTTCTAGTCTTAAAGGGTTGCTGAGAGTAGTGGGGTCAAACTACTGAGTGGGGTCAAATAACCAAACAGAAAGGGGGCCTTTAAACGTTGGTTCAGAAAACCACATATTAGCTAGCTTTATCTGTGTTCTATTTGTATTTTTATATAATTTCTTAAATATTTCCCAATTATATTTCAATCTGATTTAGGCACCAATTGGATACCCTCTGGTGAGAGCACTGAGAGATTAAGTAACTTTCCAGGGACATAAGGGACAATACATGTCAGAGGTAAGACTAGAAACCAGGTCTTTCAGGCTCTGAGGCTGGGCTCCCTATCTACTATTCCATACTGCCTCCATTATTTATCATGAATATCGTTATTATTAAGCCCATCTTTCAGGTAAGTTAGTTAAAGTACAAAACTGGTTTGGGGAACAGTCCTCGTGTGAGGACTATGCAAAAAGTCTCAAACAGAGATGCCCAAACATTGTGGTTGTCCTGTGGAGAAAGCCCATTCCAAGGAACAAACTCTGCCCATTTCTGGCTGCGAATGTGGCATACTTCCTGCCCTTGGTGGTACAGCTTCCTACATGCAGAACATGGGCTAATTTCCAAGTGACAAAATCTATAGTAAATGCCCATAGATACTGGTCAAGATTTAATAAGGAAAATTACAAACTGTATATATAGGACTATAACCTCTTCCAGGTTCTCTAAATAAATTCTTCACTATTTCATGGCAGACACTCTTAGCCAGGGGTGTCTTTCTTTCTTTGTTACATATTATTTTCAGGTTGAAGGGAGCATATTTGCATAGGTACACAGTATTAGAAGGTATACTATTACCTGAACAGCAATCCAGCTGGCATTAACTGTATGTTCTCCAAACGGTCCAAATCCTGCAAGCAAAGAAGAAGCATGTCATGAGAATGCCATCATTCCCACCCAACCAGCAGGATGCAGTGTACTACATCTCTGTCTACCTTAAAGAGCCCCACAGAATATCTTAGCAGGTCAAGGATTCTCTCCCCAGGCCAGACTCAACGTGTGCCTACCAAAAAAGATGGCATGAAATAACATGACAATAGAAGAGGATTTTGGAGGACTGAATCGTAGTCGGAATAGAATATTAAGGTAGAGGTAGTGGAATGAGCTGAAGATTCAGATCAGCAATCTGGGTTCAAATCCTGCTACCAACCTCATTACCGTTGCAAGGTGAGGACAGGCAAGTCATTTAATCTCTGATTCTTTATCAGTAAGATAGGGATAATAACACTTTTATTTCTTACCTCAGAGGGTTGTTGTGGGGAGAGTGATTTGTAAACCTTAAGTGCTATAGAAATGTGAGCTACCAGTTTTGGCTCTGTAATTAATGAACTTTTCCCTTCCTCTTTCTGAGTCTTTTTGTTCACACATCTGTAAAATTAAGGGGTCAAACTTGATGACCGCTAAGATCCCTTCCAACCCTAATCATGATTCTATTATAACCAGCTCCCCCAAATGATCAGATTTATCCAAGTCACAAAGCAAATGGAAAAGAATCATAGGTTTTCTAAATATACATTCTAAGAATCATGAAATAGTATTTGAACTAGCTTCTACCATTACTGGTAGCGGAGAAGTCAGCTGCTGTCATAAAAGCAAGCATTTTTGGTCTTAAGAGTCCTGCTTCCTGACTCATCAGCTCAAACGATCTGCGTCTCCACAACAAATCCGAAAAATAACAACACTTAATCATGAGTACAACTCTTTATGGTTCGCACAGATTATTTCATTCTATCCCAACAACAACCTTCGGAAGAATGTAATGCAAGGGTTAGCATTCCCATTTTACAAAGGAAGAAACTGAATTTTGGAGAGGGAATGCCATCTGCCTAAGGTCACCTGGCTAGTAAGCTGCAGAGCTGAAACTTCCGAGCCCCTTTCCGGGGTTCTCCAGGCCCGTACTCTTTTCACAGCACCGTGCTTCCAAGAAGTCAAGAAAGGAGGTGTGGAAGGCTCATAGGAGGGACAAGGAAACAGCAGCTGGGTCCCTGACAAACTAACTTGAAAGCATGAGGAAAAGTAGACAGGAAGCTGCTGATGGTTCTCCCAGAAGCTAGAACCATTTGGTTAAAAACCAGAGCCCACAATATGTTCTTTTCTTTTGATGAATAACCAAAGAGAAGTAGCTTTCCAATATAACCATCTTTCTTGTTGATGTCAACACGAATTAAGTTACTTGGATATATTCAAAATTTGGCAGACAAAAGTATCCCCAAGTGACTTGTGAGCATAAAACAACTATCCAGACACCCCAAAATTCTAAGCCACAAGGAAAGTATTAATCTTATCAACATAGGAGCAGGTAAAGGCCTATAGTTATAGAATGTGATTAGTTGAGAGGCCTTAATGGATCATAGGACTTGGATTTGAAGTTTGATTGATTTGGGAAACTCTCCTGGTACCACCTGCCCTCGCCACAGCAAGGACCCTCTCCTGTAACAAAGAAACACGTTAAAGTAAAACAAGTTGGCCCCTGGCATCATGTCTGACATTCTGTTCACCTGCCCCTACCCTCATCCCTCCAGAGAGAAAGAAGTGATGCCTCCACAGACCTCTATAGTCAATACGAGTCAGTGCATTAGAAGTAACAGAATTTACAGTGAGATAAAAGCCCAATCTAAAGATAATCTAGTCCAATCCCCTCATCACACAGGTGAAGAAGCTGAAGCCAAACAGGTTAAGTGACTTTCCCAAGGTCACATAGGAAGGGGCAGCTACAATTCAAACCCATGTCCTCTGACACCAGACTGGGCTTTTTTCACTTCACCACTCTAATCTAATTATACAGAGGGGTAAAATGAGGGTTTTAAATTTTTTTATTTTCATATCAGTCATGTTGTAAAGAAGAATTAGAACCAATAGGAGGAACCACAAGAAAGAAGAAACAAAACAAAACAGAAGAAAAAAAAAGAGCAAACAGTATGCTTCGATCTGCATTCAAACTCCATAGTTCTTTCTCTGGATGTGGATAGCATTTTCCATCATGAGGCCTTTGGAGATGTCTTAGATGCTTGTATTGCTGGGAAGGGTTAAGTCTATCAAAGTTAGTCACTGAACAACGTGGCTGTTACTGTGTACAATGTTCTCCTGGTTCTGCTCACTTCACTCAGCATCAGACCATACAAGTCTTTCCAGGTTAAAATGAGGTTTTGAGAGCTTGTGATTTGCCCTAGCTCACACACAGCCAGATTAAGAGCCTAGCATTTCATTACACTGCCATTACTACTGGATAAATGTGCATATGCCTGGAGAGGACCATCATTTTCAGATTGGGGAACATTCATAATTTGGTCTGGATATGTGATTTTATATGGAAATACCTGATGATGAAATTTCATAAACTTTCTCAACTTTTCTCAATAACCTAGGCTTTTTTTTTTTTTAAAAAACAGAACTGCCTGGGATACTGAAAGGTTAAGTGACTAATCCACTGCTACACCAACTATCTATTAAGTGCCAGAGGAAAGGCTTGAATCTCAGGCTTCCAGACTTATTCCTGATAGAGGCTGGTTCTCTAGCCACTGCCTCTGTTAGTAAAGTGCCTTATGAAGGGACAAGGTAGACACCTGTTACCTGGGCATTCCCTTAAGACTGGCAACTACTCTACACTACTTTCACTTCATTTTAGGTAAACCAATTCATCCTTCATTGTTTAACTTTGGCACACAAAATACTATAAGGAAACAAACAAGAAAAAGATTAACAGTCACAAGAAGAAAAATGGTCTTGGGCCATCCCCACAAAAGTTTGTATAAAATCTTTGCAATAAATAAACTCATTTCAGAATAAGAGAAAATGAACTTTTAATTAAAGTAAAGACAGACATACAGACATTCTCCTGCCGCTGAATTGGCACTTCTTTCATTGGTGGAATAGAGGCATTCCCTACAGGAAGGCAACGTGGCAAGGAGAAAGAATAAGTGGATTTAAAAGAGTCAGAAGATCCAGGTTTGAGCCCTGCTTTTGACTTCCTCTCTGTAAGTCTGTTTACTCATTTGTAAATAATAGTCGTACTACCTATCTCATCGAGTGGTTGTGAGGAAAGTGGTTTGTTACAGAAATGAAGGATTACTACTATAGATAGAGAAGGTCCATTTTTAATTTGCAAGCTTCTCAGCAGCACTAGAAAACCAGTAGGTGCGTGAGGATGGCCAAAGCCTCATCCGGTTCATGAGTGAACTTTTGAAAACCCTCACCCTTTGAGCCTACACATGGTCTCAGTCAATGCCATCAGATAAACTGCCGAGAACACCCAGAGAGCACCTTGGCATCATCTCACTGGGGAGATAAGCACGTGATATAAAATAATTAGCAGCTTGTCAGTTGCAAAAAACCTTGAAGACACTGTTCCCTTCCCTTTCCCTCCTTTCCTACTCCCCTCCTCCAACCCCCCCCCCAAACCAAACCCATGCATCTTTCTGAACAGAAAAATAAAACCAAAACTGCTTTTCTTTTGGGAGGGCAGCACTTCACTTTAGTTGAAATCGTAAGCTAGACTCAAAGCTAAAAAGGAGGGAGTGCCAAATAGGTCAGCCACGACTTTCAGACCTTCTTTCCTACCCAGCCCCACCTCCCATATACCTAGAGGCAGAAAAGTTGTGTGTTTGGCCAGGTGCTTCCCTCTCTCTCCCATCTGTGAGGCAGGCAGGACCTTTGGCACTGGTGCCCCCCTGTAACGGACAATTCAGGTATGCGCAAGAGTTCACAGTACCTCCCACTTTCTCCCCTGAGTCACAGGTCTTAAACCTAGAGTAACACGTCCTTTCCCCCTCCCCATCCTACGTATCTCAAACACAAATCTCAACTTGGGCAGTGGTGAAGGGAACACTGAACAGTTCCCGAGAGGGTTCATTTGTCAACGAGACGCCTTCTTCCCCACAAATCAACCTCTCCTTTTGTACTCTGGGGGACGTGGGGGTGGGGAGAGGCGACTTTCTGACAAGTCCACAGCAGCGGGGCAAGAGCCGGTCACTCCTTCCAAAGGCTGGTCACCCCCTCCCCCCCGTCCGCTCCATTCTGTCACTTAGGGGCTGCTCCCCGGGGCGGCGGCGGGGGGGGGCGGGGTGAGGTTGCTCCTGACCCTTTCCCTATAGTCGGGTGGTAGGAGGAGCGGGCTATGAGGCTGGAGGGGAGAGTTGCAGTCCCTCCACCCCACAACTGCTGAGAAACAGCTCCCTCCTCTCCAAAGCCAGTGAAGACTGCAGGGGAAGGACAGGGAAGGAACAGATTCAACTTCAAGCCCAAGGGACAGCGATTGGGAGAATGGTCAGGTGTGCCCGGAGCTGTCCCTTCGTTCCGAAGGCGCTCCCCAGGCCAGAACTGCCCCTTCCCCAGCGGGACCCTTCTTACCCGTCACCACCACTGCCTTCTTCGGCTGCTCCATCGCAGACACTGGCTACAGCGTCCAACTCCGACACCGACCCCCGCAGCTGCCGCTGCTGCCTCGGCTCCGCTGCGGTCTCGTCTTAACCCACCCGACCTGCCGCTGCCCCCGCCCCCGCCCCCGCCCCCGCCCCCTGTGCCCCGCCCCCTGTACCCCGCCCCCTGTGCCCCGCCCCCTCTCCTCCCCTCTCCTCCCCAACCCGGAACGGACGCAGGCGTGCGCGCCCCTAGACAGAGAACTAGGCATGCGCGTTCTCACCGCTTGCTTCATCCCTCCGCCCTTTCCTCCCCGGGGCTGTGGGTTCTTTCCCCTTTTCTCCACCCACACCCCACCCCCTAAGGCTGTGGGGCACCTCTCGGGCTGCACCTTTACCAGGGGGCAATTTGACATTTAATTTTACATTTTACAGATGGGCTCTTGCCTCTTGCCCAGGTTGTACAGGTAGTAAGCAGAGCCTCCTAGGCTCTCACCTGGGGACTTTCCCTCCGATCTAGGGTTCCTTCCCCTCTGGAGGGGGAGGTTCTGGAATGCTGAAGCTCCGGAGGAGGAGATAAGAGGCCGACTGCGGGCAGGGCTAGTCCCAAATCATGCGACTCGTGGCACCTGACCCACGACTCGGTTCAGATCAGTTCAGTTCAACAGATGTTTATTATGAATCAAACTTACTCCTACTTACGTACCCGGAGCTGGGTTTGGCTCTGGGCACTACACTGACCTTAAGAAGCATCGGATTCATGGCTGGAAGGGACAGCTATGGATCCAGCTAGCCAATCTCTCTCATTTTACAGAAACTGGGTCAGAGAAGATAAGCTTGAATCCAGGTCCTGACTTCACATTTAGGGGATCTTTTCACTGCCTTATTGACAGTCTGGTTGGCGAGATAAGCCAACATGATAAATAACTAAAACGCGGCAGGTGCCATGGAGAGGTGCTACAAAGTGCTATGTGAGATTCTGGAAGAGAGGTTACTTTATAGAACATTATTGTTTCTTGTTATTCAGTCGTGTCCAACTTTTTGTAACCCCGTTTGGGGTTTTCATGGCAGAGATGCTGGAGTGGTTAGCTGTGTCCTTCTCCAGCTTAATTTGCAAATGAGGAAACTGAGGCAAACAGGATTCAGTGACTTGCCCAGGAACCCACAGCTTAAGGCTTTAAATATGCTTCCACAGTATTAATAATTTTTCTTTAACCACGGAAAGCCTTATGGGAGGAAGCTGATATCTAATCTGGGCAGTTCAACTAGACTGAAGGGGGATGGAGGTAGGGAGGTTCATTTAGAGTTCAAAACCGTGACAGGAACAAAGATCTGGAGACTGGGAGTCTTGTTTGGCAAGACAGCAGATTTTTTGAAGGGGGATATTGGGAGATATGGCTGGAAAGGTACAGAGGAATCAGACTGTGTAAAGGTTTGAATGCCAGACTAAGCAGTTTGGACTTTATTCAGTCGGCAGTGTGAAACCAGGGCAGCTAGGTGGCAGTGGATTTCAATTCAGCCTTAGCTACTTACTAGCTGTGTGACCCTGGGAAAGGGTTACTTAATGGGCTGGAGAAGGAAATGGCAAACCACTCCAGTATCTTGGTCAAGAAAATCCCAAAAAAGGGGGTCATGAAGAGTTGGACAAGACTGAAATGACTGAACAACAGCAATGCAAAACCACTGAAGCCATTATGAAGACAGTTCTGGCAGTATTAGGAAGAGACCAGAGGCAGGTAGACATTGCCTCCTAATTGATTTTGTCCAGCTTTTAGTCCAGAGGTGATAAGAATCTGGACCTAAGGGGGCTCAGCCATTTTCTGATGACAATGCAGGATTCCTTCTCAGACTGGAGAAGGCCCTCCTTTCAGGTCGGGGCCAGAAGTCACCAGGGCAGGATTGAGGAGGAAGGAGAAGGAAAGCTGGAGCTACTAAGCCCAGGCATAGTGGGAGATGGAGACAGCCAGCTATGGCAAGTATAGGGAGCACCCCTGAGTAGTGGAGCAGAGCTGAGGCCTCTGGGACTAGGTCCAGCTTAAGCAAGTCAGTCTCTTTTGCTTTCGAATTTCCCAAGGAGGAGAGTGAAGGGAACTTTTCCCTTTCTCCTCCTCCAAAAGCCAGGCTTCACTGCTGCCTCATCTCCAAGGGACTTTCTCTACCATTCCACACAATACTCTTCACCTAGGAAACTCACTCCACACCTGGACTACTTCTCATATTGGAAGTACCCTTCTGTTCTTTTGGCCTCTCCCTCTGATTGACTGGTTCCTCACTGAATCTCCATTTTAAGGTGGAGGCCTGGGCAAGCCATATCTTGATTCCTCTCCAGGCTTCAGTCAACTCATCTCCACAGGACTCTTCTCTACCATGCCCCCTTGCCAGGCACCTTCCCCCTACTCCCCATCCTTCAGCTCCCTTTTATGTGTCTCCTTCCCCCATTAGAATGTGAACTCCAGGGCTGAGGACTGTCTTTCTTTCTGCTTCTATTTATATTCTCAGAGCTTAGCACAGTGCCTGGCACATTGCAAGCACTTTAAAATGTTAGCTGACTTGAAAGGAATGGAAATGAAAAGGCAAGACCAATTCAAGAAATATTTGTGAAAGATTTCTCGCTATTGTCCCTTTTTCCCATCTCATTCACCCTGAATCCTCCAAGTTTATGTTGTCCCATCCCACTCACAGAGCTCAACAGAGTTGACATCAACACCTTAAAAGATCTTTATAGTTTTCAAAGAGTTTTCACAGATATCTCATAAAAGTCACAACATTGTGAGGGAGGCCCAACAGTGGCTACCATTTTCATTTTACAGATGAAGAAACTGCAACTCAGAAAGGAAAAATGACTTGCTGGAGTCACATAGGGTCATTAAGCTTCCCTGAGCTTAGTAAATGCTTGTTGGCTGAACAACTTGCCATTTTACCCTCCCTTCCCCCCAAAAAACTTACTTGGTACTTTGTGTTTATTTACTGATTTTTTTTTTACTGTTTACTGATCAATGTACATGATGTTTCATCCCAATAAATAAAAGATTAAATGAGATAATCTCTGTAAAGTGTTTAGCACAGTGCAAGCACATAGTAGGCACTTAATGAATGCTTGTTCTCTCCCCTAATAATGGAAGCTCTTTTCGAGCAGAGATGAATTTCATTTTGGTCTTAGTATTTCCTCCATCTAAAATGTAGTCAGAGAAGCTAGAGTTAAGTCTGGCCTCTGTCCTATGCTAGCCTTGTGACCATGGGTAAATTGCTTAACTTCTCAGTACTCTAGGCAAACTAACTCCGAAAATGCCTATAAAGCAACAAGCAACAAACACTGATTAAGCACCTAATATTCACCACACTGTGTGAGGCTCTAGGGATGCAAAGACAAGATAATACAACGCTAGATACATTCATTTTCTTTACCACACTTTGGTCCCCAAGGAGGGGGCCTCCCTATGTCTCCTTCTTGTAAGGCAGGGCTAGGCTAAAAGAGATATAGCAGGGGTCTAGTCTTGCAGTGACAGTCTAGGGTCATGAGTCTATGTTTGGATTTCTACTATACTTTGACAAAGCTAGAAGAAATCCTAGGACCAAAGTATATTAGAGCTAGAAGGGCCTTAGATCATAAAACATGGAATGTCAGTGGAGGAAATGACCTTAGAACATGAAAGAGCAGAAACAACTTAATCCAACTTGCTTATTTTTACAGATGAGGCAACAGAAGCCCATTGGGGAAGAAGGCATTCCTTTAAGGTCATACAGCTAGTTATGCAGAAGAGTCAAAAGGAGAATGCTGGTCCCTATTCCTGGTTCAATGCTCTTCCCATTATACCATGCAGCATCTTTTTTTATTCTTTGAAACTGGGTGGTTGATTGTTGTCTTTGGTTCTCAAAGAGGAATAAGGTACAGTGTATCCCACTGTGACTGATCAGACCAATTCTAGTTCAGAAGGCTCTACTACACTTCGGGCACAAATAATCCACATGAACACTTGGAGTGGAAATGTCTCTAAATTTGTGCATCTCACATTTCTTTTGAGTGACTGTAATTCTGCTTTCTCATAGAACACAAGGCTTTCTTTGATGCAGGCATGCCATGTTGGGTGGTCCTTTGACAGTATCTCTCATGTGATGCAATCGATTCCAAAGTTTTTCAGAGACCTTAAGAGCTAGTTCTGGCAATGCATGCATCAACCTCATCATCTACATGTACATCCTTAGAAACTATACTGCCAAGATAAGTGAACTTATCCACAGCATTAAAAATTTCTCCATTTCCACCAATGGTTCCACATATGGATGGTATGGTGCTGACTGGTGGAGAACTTGTGTTTTCTTGGTGTTAATTGTTAGGCCAAATTAATCAATCCACACTTTGTTGCATCTCAGCCTCAGAGGCTGCATTTGGGTGTACAATCATGTTCCTTGAAATAATTCCTTCTTTTTATGAAGAAGAAGATTTAATGAAAACTTACAGAACCATTTGCTTCTGTGTACACAGCTGCACATTTCTGGAGGCTCTGCCTTCACCTAAATACAAATGAAGTGAACCACAAAAAAAAGAAGACTGTTATCTTCTGCTGCTTCAACTCTATCCCCCAGTGGATGGATCTGTGTGGCCTTCTGTCTTGGTTCTGAAAAGGTCATCACAGTGATTTCCTACTTTGATAAGACTTTGGCCCAGACTCCAGCTTTTCTGGGCCAACTGCCTGTCCTGCCCCTAAAGGTTTTGTTTTTGCCCTGAGAAGGGACCTAAGGTAAACACAGGGTTTGTCTCTTTACAATGCATTCTTCCCAAAGGAGGTGGGAGTATGGAGCCATAGATTCAGAAAGCCGAGATTCCTGGCTGCACCTTCAGGGGAGGTCCTAACCCTGGAACTGATGTGAGGACACATCATTTTGAGCAAAGTTGGGCTCTTGTTGTTTTTAAGTTTTGTTGGCTAATTATTGGCCCACCTAACTAAAAACGAGGAGTCTGGATAAGATCTAGTACAGAGTCCATTCTTATTGTGCCGAATAGTCTATTTGCTTGTACTTGATGGAGCAGAACTCTGGGTCTGGCTTGTGCAAATACAGGAACACTGACTGGTGGATAAATTGCTATTTTGCAATAATATGCTATTCTGCATATTAG